TGCTTTTCTTTAACGTTCTGCTTTGCATTCTTTGACGTGCTGATTAAATAAATTTTCCTTTATTTTTCTGAAGTTCAATGAGGCTGTATTTGAAGGGATGAGCGAGTGGAGTCAAAAGATTAAGAAGAGATCTGATTGAATTTGGTTTGAGGTAGTTGTGGATGATGGGAATTTTTGAGGATTGCGGATTGATATTCTACAGACATAATTGATAGACTTTGGACAGAATCTTGCCGGATTTCCGTAAGAAGCTTTCTAGATTTCGGTCAGAAGCTTGCTGGATGTCAGTCAAAATCTTGCCGGATTTATAGAAAATTGACAAACTTTGGGCAGAACCTTGCTGGGTTTCGGTCAGAATCTTCTGATGATTTTTGGAAAATTGGTAACTTTAGACAGATTCTTGTCAGATTTCGCTCGGAATTTTTCCGGATTCATAGAATAATGACAGACTTTAGACAGAATCAAGTCAAATCCCATAAAGTTCTACCAAGATCCCTCTTCCAGAGTCCATCTCCCACCAGCACAATAAAAATAAATATCCAACATTATTCCATTCCCAATTGTCTTATCATGAACATTTTTCAAAAGATTCCAAAACCGCTATTCTAAGCTGCATGAAATAAGATCTATCTTAAAAAAGCAGCATAAACTTTGTGTATTTTCTATTTTTATATTCTACAAAGCACATTAGCTCATTGAGCAAGGTCTCAAAATGTATTATGAATTATCTATTCACAATGGAAGGCTCTTTTGTTTCTCGTTCCATATTCAAGCAACATGAACAATAGCTGAACAATTTAACTTCAAAAACTGACATCTGCCCACTCAATTTTGCTGTTATTTCTGCGTCTGTTAAATGTGCATCGAATTGAATTGAATTTTTCCATAATTTTCATGTTACACACCAAAAATAAAATAGGAAAATAAATTGCGAATTGAAAATTATGTGCATTTAATTGTGTAAAAATAGGCGCCAAATGCGAATGTTGCTGTAAGCGATACTTCCATTATTTTATTTTTTTGAGAAGTTTCTAATAATTTATTTGTATTCTTGACATTTCATTTGCTAAGCGAATGTCCAGTAGAGATTTATGAGATTTTGAAACGCAAATTTTCTTATGCTTTTTAATTGAATTTTTTAATCGTAATTTAAAACTGATTGCAACAATGTTATTGGATTAATCATTGACCACCGTGAATTTTGAGCAGGTTTAACAAGATAATTATTAAAATAAAGTTGGAAATTAATAGTTTCGATCAAAATCGTGCAAAATAAATCAATACAAATCTGGAGTAAATTGCCACCCGCAAGTTGATGAAAAATTAAATCATGTGAAAAAATATTGGAGTCAATTTTTTTTATGTAAAACCCACATTGTGATTGATGCTTAATTAATTTTTGTTGATATTGAAATTCAATTTGTGAGTATTTCTGCAGAATTTTTCAGTTTTTAAAATTTTAAAATTTTATAAATATGTTTTTACTTTTTAAAATATTTTTCAAATATTTTTCAAAATTTTTAAAATATTTTTCAAATTTTTTAAAATATTTTTCAAATTTTTTAAAATACTTTTCAAATTTTTAAAAATATTTTTCAATTTTTTTCCAAATTTTTTAAATCGTCGGAATTTAAAAAAAGTAATTTTATAAAAATATTTAAAAAAATTAATATTTGCAAAAAAGTAAGTCCAAAGTGAGTCCATTTGAATTTCAATAATTAAAATCACACTATAAAAAATTAAAATTTAATTACCAATTTCCCAATATTCCTTCCACGCCAAAACAAAAAAAATCCCAACAAATATTTCCAATTTCTTTGACATTTGCACGCCATTTAAGTCAATTTATTCTCCAACAGTGTAAATAATTTCAAAATATGCAAAATAATCTACAATAAGTAAACACACCATCCATCGAATGCACAGCCATAAATACCTACTATTTACATTTTGATGCCATTATTTTATTTTAATTTGACACTTTTTTCGCCTTATTGTGAACAAATAAAAAACTTTTTATTTTATTCACAATCTGTGGCGCGCGCAGTGCTGGCATTTAAATTATTTTTTCATGAAATTTAAATCAGAGATATGGCGAGACTGACTACTTAGTATTTTTATTTTTGTATATCACCCATATGTCTTGACCCATATTACTGTTCTTGTGCTGTACAGTAACAAGAGCAAAATGAGTGAGATGGAAAATCATTTCTGCGCGCTTGTCATGAAATGATACATTTAATGTCGTCGCAATTGTACAATAAGCGCATGTGTTAATTCCATTTCCTTCACAAACATATTATGTCGTTGTCATGGCTTCTGGACCAGTTACGATAGACTTTAAATGAAAAGAAACAAATAATGGCAAAAAGAAGCATGGCGAGCAGTTTCAGGCAAAATTTAATCTGATTTTGTTATCTCACGAATGGCCTCTGTCGTGAAATAATATTGAAGGCATATTGATCGACTAGGTGCTTAAACAACCTTGCCACTTTAAGATGGATTTATTTATGATTGTTTGTTGACAGAATGCTTTTTTTGTGAGATTAATGTTAGGTTATTGACAAGGAGTGGGTCTATTGGAGTTTATGAGTGGTTTAGGGGTGTGCTTTGGAGTCTTGAGGTGGCAAAATGGGGTCATCAAGGAGCTAATGTAGTTATGAGAGACTAGTACGGCCATGTAATTGCTTACAAAGCCACAAGAAGGATAATGGAGCACTGAAGAGGCTTATCGGGTCAAGTAGTGCTTTGCGAGACTATGATAGTGCTTTTTGCGGTCAGCAGGGAGAATAAGTGGGGAGAATAAACGAATTGATACAGTCGAGAAGTGTTCTTGAAAATCAAAATTGGATTATTTAATTTTTTAAAAAAAATTGAGGTTATGTTCCTAAAAAAGTGACTATTTAACTAGCTTGTCCCACACAACAATTCAAAAAAACCGTAAATTCTAGACCTTCCTTCAGCCCATCCAACAGTTTCCATCCAAATTCCACAACAAAGTTCCGAAAAAGTTCATCAAACTCTTAAAATTATTCACACTTATTTCCATTTTTAATGACTAAGAAAATTCCGAATAACCAAATTTATTCAGCTCCTATATTGCTCAATTTCACGCTATAACCAAACGTTTTCCTGTCATTTACAAGCCATACGTATACGTATGTCTCAAAAAGTAAGTTAAAACCAGAAATACTAATATAAAAATATTCTTTACATTAATGTAAATTTCAATTTAACAACAAAGGACACGAAAAAAGTATTAAAATAACAGCAAGCAATTTACAAGTAGTCACTGGAACTGCATGTCTTTGCCATCTGATTTATTTATTCATTTGTTTAATGTGTAACCGGAACAATAGTTTAAATGAAAATTGTTTAGATCTTAAGTGATTTGATTTATTTGTTTTGTTGAATTTTTATGTGTTATTTTAGTAGTCGAGTGTGTTGTTCAGTAGCTGAGAACATGGGGTTATGGAAGTGAGAAAAATAGATTGGATTTTGATGATTGTGGGCTTCATGTGGGGATTTTAGTTGCTTTTTTGCATAAGCTTTAAATGCTGCATCAGTTGTTTTTTTGCATCAGTTCAAACATTTCTGCATCATCATTTTAGGAAGGAAAATTTAACCTTAATTTTTAAGTGTTTAGCCTCAATAGAATTTTTTGCATCATTTAAAAATAATCCTGCGTCCTTTTAATTTTTGCTTCTTCCTCATTATCTTGGCATTTTTCGATATGTTTTGCATCTTTTAAACTGGTTTTGTATCTTTTGAACTGTTTTTGCGTCTTTCGAACTGTTTTTGCGTCTTTCGAATTGTTTTTGAGTCTTTCAAAATGTTTTTGCTTCTTTTGGGCTGTTTTTGCGTCTTGTGCGCTTTAAACTATTTTTGCATCTTTCGAAGTGTTTTTGTTTCTTTTGAACTGATTTCGAGTCTTTTGAACTGTTTTGCATCTTTTAAACTGTTTTTGCATCTTTTGAACTGATTTCGAGTCTTTTGAACTGTTTTGCATCTTTTAAACAGATTTTGCATCTTTTGAATTGTTTTTTCATCTTTCGAATTGTTTTTGCATCTTTTGAATTGTTTTTTCATCTTTCGAATTGTTTTTGCATCTTTCGAATTATTTTTCATCTTTCGAATTGGTTTTGCATCTTTCGAATTGTTTTTTCATCTTTCAAATTGTTTTTGCATTTTTTGAACTGGTTTCGAGTCTTTTGAACTGTTTTGCATCTTTTAAACAGATTTTGCATCTTTCGAACTGTTTTTGCATCTTTTGAACTGGTTTCGAGTCTTTCAAATTGTTTTTGCATCTTTCGAATTGTTTTTGCATCTTTCGAACTGTTTTTGCATCTTTTAAATTTTCTCGAACTAGTTTAATTTTTTAATACCTATTCCTTCAATTTCCCGCCAAATTTAAAAAGCTTCCACACCTAGTAAAATCTCTAAACCAATTATTTTCATGTAAAATCCAAATGAGCTAAAAATAACCTGTTCGGTCACCTTTACACACGAAACAATAAAAATAAATAAAGAATAGTCAAATATGAAAGCTAGCAAAAATTATGATTTGTGTTGAAATGTAGTTCATGTTAGCAGCATGTAGCAATTTAACATAAGTCGCCTCAAAATCTCACCATGAAAAATTATTATATTCAAAAAGTGCTCACCATGTATGCACCATGTTACATTATTGTATGACTAAAGACAATAAATAAAGTTTAAAGTGAAGTAAATCTTGTGAAAAAATAAATGGAATTAATAAAATATGAATAGAAGGTTTTATAAGAAATTAAATGTTTAGGAGCTACGAAAATATGCGAAGGTTGTGGCGATGTGCAGTCTTGATGGGAGTCAAGGAGTTGCTGTTAGCTATAAGAATGTTCTTGAATTTGTGGAAGGTTTAGGTATTCAAACTCATGGTCGAGTGTGTAAACATATTTATTATTCTAAAGCTAGTGCAAGCTACAAAAAACGAACTTCCTTTATTTTAAAAAAATAATAATTTAAATTTTATCATCAAATACTTTTGGATTTTTTGACACACAAAATTGAGATCTTATATTAAATCTAGCTAGTTTATAGAACGGAACTTCAATACATAAATACAGTAAGGCACCACAAAATGTAGCTAGGATGTATGTTGATGAGCTTAAAGCCACAACTTTAGTTTTAAATCCTTCATTCTCAACACTTTTAAGAACATCATTCATAATGTAATGTCCAATATGATCATTTAAGAAGTAAATCCCCAAACTAAGACTCGATAATGGAATGAAATATTTGAATGACAAAATTTTATTGACAATTCCACCGCATCCTAATTGACTAGCATGAATAATCCAACAAAGAGCTAATGGCCATAAAATTCTTGTGACTAGAAAAAGGACGCTAGTCGGTTCCATTGGCATTGGATTGTTGATTGAGATAATCAATGCAAAGATGAAGGTGAGGAAGGTTATGGTCCATAAGTACAGTTTAGTTGACTGAAATTAGAGACAATTTTTATTGTCGCGTTTTAAAAATATTAACAAGCTTTATACCCTAGACACATCCTTAATCTTGTAGAACTCGTAATAATAAAACATTCCAAACAAATAAGGATAAGATCGTGTCAAAGTTTCCACATAAAGATAGCTCTGGATCGTGTTGACAAGCCTTTAATTGGGGTAATAAAGAAGATAGACAATTAAAAGTTGCTTAATAGCTAATTAAAGCTTAATATTTACTCTCCAACTTCGATGTACTTCACGATTCCTGGAATGTGAGTTGTAAATAAAATAATTCCCATTACCATGAGCCTAATTTTACGGTCACGAGGCTTCAAAAGCAGTAAAATTAATGGCGATATTAGGAATAAGTGCCATGAGACTGACGCAAACCACAATGGGCCAATGCACTGAAATTATTGTAGAGTTAGGTTTGGATAGAATTTAGAACTTTCAGTTCCTTACCATATGATCAGGATTGACGTATGTCTGTGTATATAACAGCATTGACCACCAATAAGTTCTGCAATTTTGATATTCTGCTGGAAAAATTCCATTTAATCCACTAAAATCCTTAATTGATAGCAAGATCAGCATAAAGTATGCTGCTGGTGGTGTGAATCGGATGTAGCGGTAATAGAAGTTCTTCAGCAGCTTGAAGACTCTAGAATGACATTGAATAAAATCTTAGCTGAAATAACTTGCAGATCGACTTACGAATTTTCATTCTGAAGGAATCCTTTAACTGACAAAAATCCACTAAGCACAAAGAACGTCTCTGTTGGTAGAATAGCTGTGGTAAGCAACAGCCTGTACTTAATAAATTGATATTCTACATTTGATAAAACTCCAGTCTCAAACATTGTAATCTGCATTGTGTGGAAGAAGACAATGAGTGGCATGGACAAAGCTTTCATTCCATTGATGCACGTGATGGCATTGTCAGGCTGCTTGAGATTAATTAAGCACCTCCCATTTGTATAGATTGAGAAAATTGAATAAAACTTTTTGGACTTTGAATCTTCAAAGGATGTGTAGTCTTTGTAGGTGCAATAGCAGATGAGGATTCCTAGAGATACTGTAAAAAAATTCAAAAAAAATGCTACGTCCATCGCGACTAAATGCTTACTGGTTAAATATTTTCAGAATCAACTATGAACTTCACCAAAAATTTATAAGCTTAATTGCCTAAAATAAATTTTTAAAAATCGTGTCAGAACATTCACGAACGCTCGTTAACTGATAAGTAATGACAAAAGAACTATTCATGTGATCAGTTGATGGTTATAGCTTTCATAAATCATTTAATGGGAATTTAAGAAGCTTTTAAAAAGGAATCAAATTAGTTGGATCTGAAAAATGAAGTGAGGAATCAATTGGAAAGCTCTGGCTAGCTTGGACCAGCTCAAAGATGTGGTACTGAAGAAATGATCAAAAATGATCAAAAATGATCAAACTGTAATTCTTCAGTTCCACACCCTTGGACTAGCTTTGACTAGCGTTAATCAACTTTGACTAGCGTTTATCAGCTTTAACTAGCTCTGACTAGCTTGGACTAGCTCTAACCAGTGTAATTAAGATACTTAATTTAAATTAAAAGCACATTTTTTCAATTTTACTCAATTTTATTGCTCATTGCGGTAGTTTGTCGTCTGATATCCTTGATGTACATAATTTCGATCGAATGTTAAAGCTTGCTAGTTTATAAATTGGAACTTCAATGAATAAATACAAAAAGGCTGCAAAAATTGATGATATTAAGTATGTTGACAAGAACATTGCGATCTAAAAGTTGAAAAAAATCGTATGATTAAACAGTCCTCAATGTGAACTTCTACAGAACTTACAGCTTTCATAGGAAATCCAAAATGTTCCATACTAGACAACACATCATACAAAATATAGTGCCCAACATGATCGTTTACTAAATAAATTCCCAAACTAAGATTTGACAGAGGAATAAAATACTTAAATGATAAAATGTCATTGATCATTTCAGCACATCCAATATGACAAGCATGGATGATCCAGCAAATTACAATAGGCCATAAAATCCTAGCAATTAGAAACAGGTTGAATAGCTGAACGGTTTTGAGTGATTTTGCAAAAATTATAATAGCAGTGATAAAGCCAGTCAGGAGAGTTATTGCCCATAAATAACGCTTTCCGAACTAAAATTTAAAAATCAGGATTAAATCAAAATTATTGCAAATTAAAGTTAAAATACCTCAGAAACTTCCTTGACCTTAAAAAATTCATAAAAGTAAAACATTCCAAATAAATATGGATAAGATCTTGTCAGTGTGTCTACATAAAAAGTGGTGAGCTTTACACTTCCGACTTCCAGAAACTCGATTATCCCCGGAACATAAGTCAAGACAAGAAAAACTCCCATTATAGCTAGTCTTACATTTTTTGCACGAGACTTTAAAAGGAACATAATGACTGGAGATACTAGGAACAAATGCATTAACACAGTTACGTACCAAAGAGGTCCAATACACTAGAAAATTCATAGAAATCATAAAAATTATAAGTTTAAGTAATAATTCCATACCATTTGATTAGGGTTGACGTATGTCTGTGCATATAACAGCATCGACCACCAATAATCTTTACAGTTTTGGTTCTCAGATTCAAAAATTCTACTTAGTCCATTAAAATCCTTGATAGAAATTAAGATCAGCATCAAAAATATTGCTGATGGTGTGATTCGGATGTACCGGTAATAAAAGCTCTTGAGAAGCTTGAAGATTCTAGAGAAATTGTAGACAAAATGTATCAATAACAGAGAAGCTACTAAGTCACTTACGAATTGTCATCATAAAGAAAGCTTTTAACTGATAAAAATCCACTAAGCACAAAAAACGTCTCTGTTGGTAGAACTGCTGCTGTCAACAGCAATCTGAACTTTATGTCATCATACTGAACTCGTAGCTCTTCAGTCTCAAATACTGTGACTTGAAATGAATGGAATAGAATTATGAGTGGCATGGATAGAGCTTTTAGTCCATTGATGCATGTGATGGCATTGTCAGGCTGCTTGAGATTAATTAATGATTTTCCATTGGTGTAGATTGAGAAAATTGAATGAAACTTTTTGGATTTTGAATCTTCGAATGATGTGAAGTCTTTGTAGGTACAATAAGCAACAAGGAATCCAAAAGCTGTTGTGAAATAGCTAGAAAATATTTTCAATTTTAATAAATTAAAGTAGAGTCAATCAATAAATTACTAACTTCAACAAAAAAGCTACATCCATCGTTGCTTACTATTGACTGTTTGGTATCCTTAAAAAATTGGGGGAAAAATTTCAAAAAGATTATAATTTTTTTCAAAAACTTCACGAAATACACATAAAAGACATAAACAGCTACCATAAAAAAAACTTTTGTTTCATTATTTTACTTCCATTTCATTTCACGCTTACGGCTAATGTAAATACTCAAAATTCTTACGATGTCAAGATCTAGATAAAGGACTCGCACATTAATTTAGGGCGTGAGGTAATTGAACTTCTGTTTGACTGCTTGTAAAGCTTTAAAGTCAATAATCTTAGTAATGCAAATAATTTGCGATCAACAAATAAAGCGCATTCATTTACTGACCAAAGACTTGCACTTCCAATTCCTTGACCCGATTCTCATGACTACCTTCTTAAATGATTATTGGTTGTTCCAATATTTGAGAAACAATTGCTTATATACTTTGGGTAAATTCTTTGTATGTTCATAATGAATGCTTTGAGATGAACAGAAAAGGTTAAAAAGTCCCACACAGTGTTCATCTATCGATTACTATAAAGTATGCGAGGGATACTATAAAGTCAGAGTACAGTAATCAAGGGTATGAAGTCAACTCTGTCATTGTGAAATCAATGTGGCTGTGGCCTAGTGGTTAAGCAATAGAGCATAATTTTTGAACTTTCGGTAGAGGTTGTGGGTTCAATTCCCACTAAACTACGCTTTCTAAATTAATGCATTGAAAATTTTCATTATGCCAATGTTATGTTGTCTAGGAACCATAACTAAAACCATTTCGATCTTAAAAGTAAGCTTCCATTGCTCATACTAGTCATGAATTCCAAACTATACCTTTAGGGCACAATCATAGCAAACGTGGGCTCCATACTTACACACAACTACATCCACACAGTCAATGAATGAAATTAATGAGCTTCCGAATAGAATGTTTAAGTGCCTTTTAGGTTAACAGAGCAAATATTGTTGAATGTTTGTAGAATATTGCCTTATTTTGAATCAGAATACATTAGAGGAGTAAAAGACTATAAATGAATGTTGAATGAATGACTGAATGTGAATGAGTAAGTTGATGATATGTGGGAAATGGTGGTTAAAAGCTATTTCTAGGCGCTTTTGTTGTGCTTCTAATGTTATGCAAATTCTGCTTTCTTACGGCTTCTTGATTTTACTGAAAAGATAAATTCTTACCGAATAAGTGAAAGACATGGACTAGAGTATAATCCTACACGGTTGTAGAAATGTGAATTACTTTAAGGTTGAATAGTTCAAGTATGGATTTTTTTACTGTAGTAGGAAATAGAAAAGGTCAGGAGTTTACTACATAGCAGTCAGGGTTGACTTTAAATAATTCAGAAATTATCCTCAAAGTAACGAACCTTCCCAATAATTAATTATCTTCATTATATTTCCTTCCATTAACTCTAACATCCATAGCAAATGCATCTATTCATGCAAACCAATAAAGACTAATAGACGAGAAATAAATGCAAAGAATAGAAAGCCCCACGAGATATATCACATCATAATCAGTCACGCCATAAATGTCAAGTCAGAACAGCAAAAAGGCTCGTAATGAATATTATGTGTGTAGTAAATAAACATTGTATTTGTACAAAGCATATGCCAATGTCTATCACAATACAATTGCCTTTTAGCTAGTCATTTACACGCTTGCTTTATGTTGGCTTTGAAGTTCTTATGTAGACTTTGGGAGGGTTTAAGTGAAGCATTGAGGTGGGTTGGGGCTGTCAGTCCAAAAAGTAGGTTTAGGAGAACATTTTTCTGAACTTCTTAACAGTTCTGGTAGGTTTAGAGGGAAAAGACGTAGCTTAGAACTAAAAGATGCAAGTTCGAATCCTATTCAAAACAATATCTCACAAAATGACCTGATTCATGCTATGAATACAAGTTTTATGTCTACAATAATTAAAATCAAGTTCAAAATCCCAAAAACTTTAACGGCCTGTTTCACTAAGGTGGATTATCCACCGATCGGATTATCCACTTTTTCAATCCGAGGATAATCCATAATTTTTTTTACTTCGTTAAACTGCACGCTGAATCAGAAAAAATGGATTTAAAGAAAATAATTTTTTGACGATGGATTTCACAAAAAAAGATTATCCTAGTAGGTGGATTATCCGAAGATTATCCTGAGATCATCCTAGGATTATCTACATAATTAATCTGAAATGTTAAAACTGGGTCCCCCCAAGATTGAAAATTCGGATAATCGTCAGGATTATCCTAGGATAATCTCAGGATAATCCATATACTAAAATTATTTTTTCGCTATATTCACTATAAAGAAAAAATATTTTTTATCAAACTGTTCTGATTATTATTAACCAATTAATTCTACATCAGAAAAAAATTATTTGGATTTTCCACGTATCCAAGAAATAGATAATCCTAAAATGAGGATAATCCACCTTAGTGAAACAGGCCGTAAGATTCTGACAGAATCAACCACAAGGAACAATTCTATACAAGCATTATTCCATCCACAAATACAAAGCTCTCCACAATTTTATAGTGCATTGAAAAATTTGATTCGTAGAACTTCAAGTCTCACAAACTCAGAATAGATTTCCATAAAAATGATAAATTGAAGGAAAACAAAGTGTGACCTAGATAATATCAAGAAACAGTCATAATTGCCTCACAATAGGAAAATATAGGTCACATCACATACGACAAAGTTAATTACACTTGAACCGTATCAGGACGAACAACTTTTATTGTTAAGGAATTTATTTAATTAAGGAACAAAATAAAAAATGACCGTGAGCTGTCTGGAAACTTTATGATTATACATAACATGTTCTGAGTTAATTTTATTAGAATTTTCTCATTTCACCCAAGATCCGACATGTTAAGGCTGCAGTCAAATCGGAAAAGTAATAAATTAAAATTATTCCTTAATTACAATAAAACAAAAATCTTTCTTCGATGACTTCACAACACGAAAATCATGAAAAGGAAACAACTCAAAGCTGATCTAATATAATGACCGAGTTGTAGATTGGAATTTAGGTTAATTAAGCTTGTATGCCTGGGTATATTTTAAGAATGAGAAGGACAATTGAAGTGTAATAGTCGCATTTTATTTATTGGACATATTAAAAAGTTTTTGAGTTGCAAATACTTGCGAGGATTTGTAGAGTCATCAGCTAGTTGATGTTTATGAAGAGTGGGCAAGCAAGTAAGGAAATTGAGGAGCCAGAGCGCATTTTTCTCTAGAGTGCTTTTAGAATTTAATTTTAATTCCTTAGAAGCTTTCGTTTGCTGAGTAGGATTCGAACATGAGCTCTTAAGATTTTCAGAGTAAGCTCTTACTGTTCAGCTATTGTGGACTACTTGGAAGCTTGACAGAATGTCAACTTGAACTATTATCTTACTCTGAATAGTATCTTTGGTATACATACCCATGAGGTGGCTTGGGATCCTCCAACAATCAGAAACCCAAAATGACAATATTCCTGCCATACTGTTACCCAACTTGCTTCATAGCAATGACAATTATTGAATATAATAAAATCAATTTTTTACAGTCTTAATGCTCCGATTAACGTCTGTGACTATTAAGTGACATCACACAATCTGTTTGTCTGTATGATTCAATGAGATAATATTAATTGTATAAATTGCACAGTTCATTTCTCATGATTTAAATTGATTTTTATTTAAATGAGAGATGTCGAAAGGGATGCAACAATGTATTGCCTGCATTCGATAAAAATTATAAGGCAGATAGTAAATAATTTGCGGCTAAATAAATTGATAGTGTAGCAGATTCCAATGGAGATTATCAAGGATATTGTTGGCAAGTGAATTGAAATTATTTTAATTGCACTGTCCGTGGACGGAGTCGATGCGCGAGGTATGGTGAATTACAAGTTGAGTGTCTATAAATAGACAAGTACATGACTTTAATTAAGAGTCTGAAAATGTCGCAGATATTCTCATTTTTTATTGAGGATGAAAGTTATAATGATCTTGAAAGGAATCTGACTGGTTGTATCGAGGATGTCTCATCGGAAACTGTAAATTTAAATAATCCGAGGAACTTTAAAGTTTTTTCTTTCTAATAATTCCCACCAAACAAGTCATCGACCAAAACCTGTTCAATCTCCCTCAACATCAAATCACTTTCAATCATCTAGACGACATAGTAATTATTTACATCACAGCATGACTTTGTTCCCAAGCAAAGAAGTAATTTCCCAATCAATATTCATAATTTTTTTATGCACATGATGTTGATTCATTAAGCAGCAATTTAATCGTCTATTAACAATGAGAAATTACATGCTTTAGTGCACAATATCAACATATGCAGTCAATCACACATCTTCATCGTGCTCTTCTGGCTAGATTTATTCTTTCCAAGGGGATAACAACTTGGTCGGACAGGTTGAAGGTTGTTTCTTTTCGAAGGAGATGTTGATCAAGAGTGGATGGAGACCAGGAGTAGGAGCAGATCAGGAGAAGATGTAGAAAAGGAATATTTGCAGAAATATTTTTCCATCAAGCTGTTATCCCCCTGAATCTTGCTCAATCATGATCAGCACATTTGCAGGATACTTAGTAGATATTCTATAATATTAAATGCTCACTCATTGATTACATGCTGGTGGAGTCTGCTGTGAGTTGATTCTGATCTTGAAGAGAAATTTTAGTTGAGTTTGAGGTTATGTGGAGTTAAAGTAGGACTTGAGTGCACAAATTTTGAAATTGAGTAGCTATGTTACATCATTCTCTCTTTGCGGGACTTAAGCTTCAAGATTTTAAGTCCTCTAAAACCTTATGAAGAACCTAGTTGACTAAGAGAACATGCTTGACCAGTTCTGTATTGTAATAACAAGCCACAAGCCAAATCTACCTAATTAAATTGTAAATCTTTACAAACTTGCGTCTGTTGACTCACAGCCATCACAACAGAAAGGCATCAACAAACTACATATCATTAAAACAGCGCGGACGCGCATCATTATGT